CTAAAGCTTTGTGTTTTTATTTTTATTTTATTAAAATAATTTTTTAGGGGTGCCCGGGTGGCTCAGTTGGTTGGGTGTCCAACTTTGGGTCAGGTCTTGATCTCACGGTCTGTGAGTTTGAGCCCCGCACGGGGCTCTGTGCTGACAGCTTGGGGCCTGGAGCCTGCTTCGGATTCTGTGTCTTCCTCTTTCTTTGCCCCGTCTCATTCTCTCAAAAATAAATGTTAAAAAAAAATTTTAAATATACATTTTTTAATTTATCCATTTTGAGAGAGAGAGAGAGAGAGAGATTGATTGATTGGGAAAGCCAGCAGGTGAGGGGCAGAGAGAAAGGCAAAAAGAGACTCCCAAGCAGGCTATATGCTGCAGTGCAGTTCGAGCTTATCAACTGGGAGATCATGACAAGAGCTGAAACCATGAATCAGGACGCTTAACCACTGACCCACCCAGGTGCCCCAAGGCTTTGCGTTTTTAAATCCAAACGGTCAAGCCCAAGCTTCACCAGTTGCTCTTTTTCTCTGAGGTCAGACAGCCGTGCTTGTTCTAAGGATGTCCATGTGAACAGAGCAGCAGGCCGAGGAGCTGGGACTTGCACTACAGGGACAGCATCACACGGATGGATGTGGATGGGCACCTAGTCCCAAAAAGTAGAAATCTGTCTCCAGCCTGGGAAAGTCACTTCGGCACAGCACTGTGTAACACAGCGCGTGTATTCCAACGGGGCCGAATTTTCAGGCAAAGGATTTTTCTGGAGACAGGTTAGAGCTGGAGGATATGGTGATGCCAGCCTGACATATGAAGACGCAGTAAATGCAACATGCTTGCTTCAGGCATCGTAAGCATCTTCATTCTTCACCTCCTGGCTACTGACAGCCATCTCCGGGCAGTGCGTAATGTAACAGCAGATGAGTATTTGTGAGAGGCTTTCAGCTTTACAATGTTACCAGACTTTCTGTAAAGCGGTATGGGGCAGTACCTAGTAATCATATACAACATATCTTTCTTTTCTCTGTGTCTGAACAGACTTGACTGGCAGGTCACCAAATACATAGAGAACGACAGATTTGGGAGCAGGTTCCCTTTTTGACGTGCTTGCCTGCATCCATGTGTTGGGACAGAGTCCCGCGGCCAGCCTGTGACAAGAGATGGCCATCTTGTCTTTTGGAACACACATCCCAGAAGTCAGTAGGAGGATGCTGCTTTTCTGTGAGGATTGCTGCTAAGATTCCCGTCCCGGGTCCAAGGAGTCGGAACTGTCAGAGAACTTGAACCTGAGCCAGACTGACTGACTTTCCATATGCAGAAAGTCATGAAACTGACTTTCAACAACGCATTTTGGGCATTTCTAGCTTTTGTAGATACAGAAGATGTAATATTCACTGGGGTAGAGGTAGAAGACAGGAGGAACACAAATGATCACTTTGAGCCATGAGTTCAAACCACACCGATAGACGGGTAAACAGATTTAGAGTGTTGCCTGACCACTGAGTTCCTTAAGGCCTGTCCGATACCAGAGGAAGCAAATTTCTATAGTTAATAAAGCTGCACTTTTTCATGTTACATTTGTGTTATGAATCCCCAGATGCTAGATGGAAAATTGCCTGCTGATTAATTAGAATTAATAAAGGAGCCCTACTACAGAGAATAATTAGCTTCCTTGGCTCGTGGTTTCCCACCGATCACCAAACGTGTAATTTTGCACCATATGATTTTTCTGCATGTAAAGAAAGAGACAATGAGATGGCTTAGATCATTCACAGAGGAGCCTAGATCTGAATTCAATTACATGACACCTGGTAATGTTTAGAAAGGTCAAGAGCTTTGGAGCCAGAAAAAATCTGGATTCTAATCCAAATTCTCTTTACAGGGTATATATTAAACAAACAGCAGAGCCTGTCTGGGCCTGCTTCCTCATCTGTGAAATGGGGATGCCACTTTCATCTGGTTTGGGGCTCAAATGAGAAGGTAGATGAAAAGCATCTTGCCCAGCACTATGCACATATTTATATATATAAGGCAGAAAATAAATGTTAGGCTGCTGCTTTCTTTTCTGCCAGTTTCGGTGATTTTTGATGACGAGAAAACACACAGGAAAGGAGGAAATGCAAGATGAAAGGGCACAGGGGTAACTGATTGGTAACTGATGGAGGAAGGTAATAGGAGATAACAGGGGAATTGAAGGAGATGGCTTCACTGAGGAAGAGACCGTAAAAAAGATAGCGACCTTGGTGTGGAAGCTGGTAACTTCTGCGGCCAAGGAATAAGGTTGGTACAAAACGTAGGAAGGCATTATAGGGAGGCTTAATCTTCAAGAATAGAACATGTTTGTGTAAGCTAAAAAAAAAAAAAAAAAAAAAAAAAAAAAGCAAACCAGTCCAATTAACAAAAAGCAACCTGCAAAAAACCCATGCTTCCCATAATACACAGTAATATTCAGTAACACTTTAGAGATGTATGTGTAGATGCAAGAAAAACATCAGTCATTATCTTTTCATGCTAAATTTTTATTTCAATGTTATGCAACTGCATAAGTATAAATATTTGTTCAATATACAACAATTATGACATCCATAGGGAATTTCTTAGAGAAAATAAGACTGCAAACACTTTATTGCACAGATCCTAACAAACTTTTAAGCTGGTAAATCTACAGCTGGGAGTACTACCAAGGAGCACATCTTACAATCACAGGAGACTGACCAAATAGAACACAGGAGAATTCCTACCAGCTGATTGGAGAGGTTTACAACAACAGACAGGTATTACATGAATGCAACCTTAAGTACTCTTTACCCATCCAAAATGCAAAAACATATTTGGCCAAAATGATAATACACTATACAAAATATACATAAAAATATCATTTGTAAACAGGCAGCTAGTTGTGCTTTAAAGGAAACTGGACAGTTAAAAAGCAAAGGCTGTAAACCATGAACTCCCTCCCCGACACACCTGTCGTGATGTCTGAGTACAGATGATTGGGTTGTGACAACTGCCAAACACAGATATGAATTATAAATGTTGAGACCACTTTGGAAACCCATTTAAGTTCTTCTAAAATATGCGTTTCTTCTACCATTTCACAACGTAGTGATGGGGAATGGCTAAAACTACACGGGGGCGGGGGGGCGGAAAACAGGGGTAGGGGGGGACTTTTTCTGTTTGCCAACTCATTTTACAAGGAAGGACAACCCAGCAGTCAGTTAAGTGATGCCTTTGTTTTTGGAGCAGGGTTTACAGCCCTGCTAAATAATTTACAATCCGCAGGCTGTGCTTTAGATGAATGATTTAGATACTAAGACATCCGAGGGGGTTTGGGTGCTGAATTTGTATTTATTGGTAATTGTTTTCCCTCTTGAAAAACAAAACAGAAAATCCTGCTATGGATCCCAAACATCTTATAAATACTTATCTGTGTGTATTTTCTCTTAGTGCCTTAGTACTTAGGTCAGCAAGTGCCGTCTTACAATACAAAACAAGCCTCCAGGACAACTGCAACAAAAACAAACAAAAACCCCCTCAACACTAAAATGATTTGACGAAGTCTACATCTTCCATGGTATACAAAATTTAAATAAGGCTTAGCAAAAGTAAAAAGGACAGTCACATTCAAGCACCAAATAGCTCCACCAAGTCTTTTTGTTAAAAAACGCTGCTCTTTATTAATACGTTTTTTTTTTTTTGCATACAAATAAAGAGATCATGTTATGAAATGTATGGAGCTACTCGATGCATCAGAAATGAATGTGAAACCCAGGAACTTGCTAAAAACAGCAAGCTTCATCTACAACATAAGGCCCCAGCTATGTATTAAAATGTATCTGATGTCCTGATTATTCATTAATATATATGCTATGATGCCAAAATCCACCCCCCCTTTCCCTCAAAAATGCAAATTTAAAACCTCTTCCAATGCCTGATGCTTATTACTCAACTTAAGTACTATTGGATCTGCGTGTGGCCAGTAATTTTCCTTTTTGTTCAAGAGCAGGGCTGGCACAAGACTACTACAAAATGTGTGCTTCTTGGACTAGTGACTCATAGCATCAAGGCCTGAGTTTAAGAGCATGAAAAGAAGGGAAAGTGAGAGAAATAAAGCTGACGTGTGTTTATAGCCTCCACTACACCCAGGGTGAAGACCCGACATATATACCCACAGACAAGGATAACTGGCCTTTCAGACAGTTGGACCCAAGATCAAGTGTCCACTGCGATGACTGTAACATGAATATGGTTAGCTCTGCTTGTTCCGGCCATTCCTAATGGAGGAAGAGTCCAAATGCAGTGACTAGAGTAGTTCTTGCTTTAAGATCTGGAAATCTAGGTAGGCAGATACAGTACTCTCAAAATCTTGGGTTAAAAAGACACACACAAACTCACCATCTACTGTATTTAGGGCTTTCTTTCATCTTGAACTCTACTCAGAATGTTTTAACTTAGAAAAATGTAGTCTTGAAATATTCTCTGAAACCAGAGACCAAAACATGTGGGTGGATGTGTATATACACACGAGTGTGAGTGTATCTATACTCTTACATACACCCGGTTTTAACCATTTTGCTTCATTACTACGTGATGATAAGTGGTAAAGCAAAAATCCTACTGGAAAAAAAAAAGAAAAGAGAAGAAAAGAAAAAGCTGTGGTAAACAACGCCATCAGCAGCAAGGTATCACTCTACATCCCAAACCAAACACATTGCTAGGTATTTACAGAGAAAATCTTTATCCTCAACAACCTTCCACTGTAAAGGTGTTTCTTTATTGTTGTTGTTTTCGTTTTTCGTACAAACCCTCTCTGGTAACAGTGTTATGGGTTACAATTGGGAAGGCAATTGGAAGAAGGTCCCCTCTTTCTGTCTCTCTCTCCCTCTCCCCCTCTGCCTAGGGGCTCCAGGCTCTGCCTGGCGGGCGTTCCCACACAGTGCTGGCTTCACAAGGTAGTCAAGACTCAGGTACACATTCAGGTCGGGTCTCCCCAGTCGGGCCTGGGGCCTGCCCCGTTACGAGGCCTTTTTGTGCGGGCTGCTACGCAAACTCTCTTTCCCCCGCCTCTGCCGCACCACAAAGTCCTTCTCAGAAGAAAGGGCGATGGGCCGGTCAGGGTTTGGAGCTGGGGATGCCTTGGTCACTTCTCTGCCCACGCTCTGTTTCCTAGTCTGAGAGGGCGGGGCTGCGACAGGCTCTTTGCCTTTGGTTTCTCCTGTGGTGGCAGATACCGACAGGGCCCTGTCCCGGTGGCCGGCTCCCCCTGCCACGGGCGGGCTGGGGTGGTGCAATTCCAGGGTGACGGTGGAGCTCCGAAAGGATGGCAGAGAGTCGCTCTTTGTCATGTGGGTTCTGCCGTCGCCCCCGGGCAGGGTCTTAGCCGCAGCCCCGCTGGCCTTGGCCAAAGATGTGTCACCGCTAGTTGCAGCAGCCTCTCGAGCCCCCGGTCTGGCCTCAGGAAAGCTGGAGGAGGAGCTCAGAGACTTTTCTGGGAGGGCAGTGGATCGAAAAGAACTCTGTCCGGTGGCCGAGGGCGACCGTTTCATGCCGCTGGGCTTGCCTGCCTCAGTCAGCGGCTTCTGGGGACTCAGCACTTTCCCCTTGGCCTCTGGCAAGCCTTTCCCCACAGCAGCTGCTGGCCTCTCTGGGCCTTTTGGCCGGGCCTCGCCGGGTGCCAGGGAAAGGCTGGCCTCAAGCTTCCCGCCGTCTGCTGGAACGTAAAGTGCTTCAGTGCATTTCTTCCCCTCAGACTTCCTGTCCGTGGCGGTGGCAGCCTGTGAACTTGGACTCCTGTCTGTCTGTCTGCACACAGCGGGGCAATCTTTCACAGTGGATGGTTTGGGGTGCTTTGGAGACACGTTTTGCTTTTCATTGACAGGGGCAACTTTCTGGTCCGCCGATTCACCCCCTCCTGGGTGTCCTTGCTGCGGCAGATGCGTGGGCTTCTCTGGTGCCTCCGGAGACCGCCTGCCACCGGTGGCTTTTAGCTTAGGGTCTAGAGGACCCCCTTCGGTGAGCAGCGGAACTGAGGGTCCACTTCCTCCCTGGCTAATCGCATTGGTGGCTGTGTTCTGGGAGCCTGGGAGGGCAGGGAAGGCCTCCGGCACACCCTTACTGCTGTCCTTCCCTTCTCGGCTGGGGCCGACCTGCGGCTGGGCTGCAGCCTCTCTGCCTGCTGCAGGCCCAACGCTTGGCTTCTGGGAGGAGAGGGCCCTGTCAGGGTGCTTAGACTTTGCGGGGATGGAGTCGGGGCCAGGCCCAGACTTGGGGCTGCTGCTCTCACCATGCACTGCAGCGGGCCTGGGAGGGCCCTGGAGGCCCAGGCTGGGCTCTGTAGTACAGGGCTTGCCCCCCGGCTCTCTGCCTGAGGAGTGGCTTGGGGAGACGCAGTGCTGCTGAGTGGCCAGGCTGGGCAGTTCTTTGGTGACCAGCGGGGGCTGAGAGCTACTGCTGACGTGCTTTTGTAGAGGCTGTTCTTTCCTTTCTGGTTCCTTGGGACTGTCTTTCGGCAAGGATGGGAAAGCAGAGAGCTGGGCTTCCTTCCTGCGTTCAGTGCCTGGTGGCTGCAGGGACCACCGGCTGGGAGGAGCTTCTGGCTGGGGTTCCGGGCCACCTCTTCCTCTGCCCAGCTCCCTCTCACGAGGAATCCCTGCTGACTGCAAAGAGGAGTCCTCCCTCGCCAGGGGCCTCACCTCATCTCGGCCATCTCTGTGGTTTGTTTTCCCACAAGGTGCCCATGCTTTCTCCAGGGCTTGGGTCTGAGTGCAGGAATCTGGACGGGTCCTTTCCCCAGAGGGGAGATTTCTGGAATTGTCACTGGTTTTAGCAGCTTCTGGAGGATACAACTCCACAGAGGGATCCCTGTGGGAGTCAGGTCTCACAGCGGACCGCTCGCTTCTGGCCGTGGAAGGGCCCCTTTCAGAGGATTCCCTCCCACTTGGCTTCTCTCTTGAGGCGGTACCTTCAGGCAGCAGCAGGCTGCGTGACCTGGATGGGTCCGCGCTGTGGGGGTTCAATCCCAGGGAGGGGAGGAGTTTGGTGTCAGGGCTATGGTTTTGGTGTTTGCTGGGGCCCCCCTCTCTCCGCTGGGGATCGCTTTCCATGACCGTCACTGTGCTCTTGGCTGCATGGGAAGCTTTCCTATCCCGCTTTAGCTCTGGGTCAGAGCAAGGCACGGGAGCTGCTGGTGAATTCTGGAGACCCCGGCTGGGGGGTGGGAACCGGGGCTCCAGCAGGTAGGACTTATTAATCCTGAAGCCAGCAGGGGAAGGCTCCCTCTGACCCGCCGTCTCACCCTTCTTGCCCCCGGTGCTGGGGAGAGCCGGTGGCACAGAGGGCCTCACATCACTGGCCGGGCTGGGGCTCTGTGCAGGCTCTGGGGAAGGCAGCTCTGTCTTGGAGGCCTGAGGTCCAGACAGGAGAGCAATATCCAAAGTGCCCTCAATTGGTTTCAGGCAGGACACAGACCTACCTTCCAGTTTATACTCAGAAGGGCTTTTCCGGACGGGTGACTCAGGAGCAACCAAGCCCGGCTTCTCTACTCCACCGTCCACCCGCCCAGCTAGCGCCTTGAGAGGGACAAAGGAGACAGTGCTGATCTGAGCCGTGTGGGCACTGCTCATGAATGCTCGGCTCTCAGAGGCCACTGGGGTCTCCTGCTGTCCACCCATGGACCGGACGGGGTTCCCGGGCAGGCTTTCGTGGGCACTAGACGTCATCTTGGGCTTGAGCACAGTGCACAGGCCGTCATCTTTGTCTTCAAGTGACATTTTCTTTCGGAGGTAATCGATGTTGGCCAGTTTGCTGTCTAACTTCTCACATCGGAGACACTCCTTGGCCTGGGAGGCCTTCTCCGTGTTTTCACCCTTCCCAGAGCTGGACCTATCAGCCGAGTGGCAGAGAGTGTCCTGGAGGGTGCCAGGAGCAGAGGTGCGCTTGAAGTCACAGATGCCCTGGCTGTGGTCCCCAGGTGCTGGGCCATGGCCAGCCGCTGCCCCTTCCGAGGTCACTCCCTCGCTGGCCCGAATGCTGGCCTGCTTGTGAAGAGCCCCTTTCAGCAGGCTGCCCACGGATGGGGCCTCCTGCAAGGCCACTTTGTTATCAAAATGACTTGACCTTTCTAAAGCCTTCGGATAGATTTTCTTCTCTCTCTCTTCCAGCCTAAAAGTAGAGAGGTTTTCTAAATCACTCCCAAGTCCATGGGATTTCTGGTGGGGTTCTTGTTTCTCTGGGAGACCATCTGGCTTCTTCACCACCACCTTGGCCTTGAGCTTCTCTCGGTCCAGCTCATCCACAGACTCCTGTCTCCCCAGCTTCCGGGAGACAGGACGCTTCAGGCAGCCTTGCTCCACAGGCCTGGCGCGGCTCAGGGAAGGGGCGTCACACACATTCTCCTCCAGGCTCTGCAAGGTCACTTCCCGTGGAGGCTGTTCCCTCGGCACCTCCTCCTGGGTCACCTCCAGGCTGTGTTTGCGGGAACACAGGTGCTTCTTGTCACTGCCATAGGAGGGAGACAACTTCTCCTCTGACTGCACGCGCTTGAGCAGTGGGGACCTCGGGGGCTCTGCACTCTTGGGCCTCACGATATGTCTGACTATGGTGGGAGGGGAGTGCATTTTGCTGGGAAAAGCTTGAGCGATCTTGGAATTGCCAAGCGAGTGTCCCAACAGAGGGGATGGTGACCGCTGAGGGGAGGTGGGCTGTGGTGTTGGAGAGGGGGTCCGGGCCAGTGGGGAGAGGGGGATGCTGCCAGCCGACTTCCGCCTTCCAGAACGGTAGCGCTGTCCGCTGAGTTTGGGGGCCAGACCATGTAGGGTGCTGGGCCGGATGTGTCCTGACCCCGCTGGGGAATTGGGGGCACTAGAGCTTGGGGAGCTGCTCTGAGAGGAGTTAGTACCTGGGGGTGGAAAACAAAAAGCCATGAGCAATGGACTCCATCCCTTTTCTTTCCATGCTTCCAACCCAAACGGTTGTAGGTCGGGTCAGATCAAGGTCAGCAAATTGTCTTAGCATCTAACTCTATTGAGAAAATGCTTTTCAGGTAAACCTCCCCCCACATCAGGGTTCAACCCCGTATTTCCTGCCTTTATGGTCTAAATAGACGTATCTTATGACTATCCTTTCACTTACACCTTCTTTTTTTTTTTTTTAAATTTTTTTTAACGTTTTATTTATTTTTGAGACAGAGAGAGACAGAGCATGAACGGGGGAGGGGCAGAGAGAGAGGGAGACACAGAATCTGAAACAGGCTCCAGGCTCTGAGCTGTCAGCACAGAGCCCGACGCGGGGCTCGAACTCACGGACCGCGAGATCGTGACCTGGCTGAAGTCGGACGCTTAACCGACCGCGCCACCCAGGCACCCCTTTTTTTTTTTTTTTTTTTTTTTTTAAATTTTTCACTTACACCTTCTTTCATTACGCTGGAATAAGCCTCCCAACCCTCAGGAGCTCAGATAGTGACTCTGACCTCCTCCCACCTCTCCCCTACTGTCTGGGCCAGGAGACTCACTCACCTGATGGGAAGTCAGGGGTGGAGCGATAGCTGGGCGTGGGGGACCGGGGAGACAAGCTGTGCGTTGGGGAGCCTGGGAGGCTCTCCCCTGATGACAGGGAACGGTTCAAACAGGAGAAGCTTCGGCTGGTGTGGAGTAAAGGAGAAGGCTGCTTGGCTAGTTTTTTAAAAAGGGATCTCCTCCTAGAGCGGAAACAAAAACAAAGGAATCAGATTCTACATAGAGGGCCCCTCTGTCTCCCCACAATATGGGTGTGCTCAGTTTCACACCTCTGTGCCAGTACAGCGACACGGTGTCAGACCCCACACTAAGGTGTAGGTTCCCACTCCCATATTAAAAACCTTATGACTCAGAAAAGAAGGGTCTTTGCTAATGTACAACGGAAGTTCTCTTAATTCCGAATACTTTAAGAAGAAGCAACAAAATAGGAAGAATAGAAAACATAGGAAATATATATTCATTTATTTATCTGTCAGGGTTATGAGGAGGGTGTTTTGTACCCACAGCTGTTTGCTGTGCTTATTCCACTGTGGGCTCTTGAATATTCCTAATGACCATGTAGGCGGTACATTTATGTAGAAAAAGCGACAAAGGTGAACTGAAGCTTATCATATCAGCAGGGCACCACACACTATATAGCTGCAGCAGAAGCAAATGAGTATTTGGTGCTCAACAAGCATATCTTAAAGGGGGGAAAAAAAGCTTCTGATGACTTAGAAGTACACGTGGCTGTAGAGAGCTCTTTCACCTTTAAGGTCAGGCAAGCCTCACTCCCCGCCAGTGAGCTTAAGCAAAGGTTTACATGCTGCTACACCCCTTTGATACAGTGTGTTCTGTTTAACTTAAAGCACAATCAAAATCTAAAGCACACTTTAAGAAAAGTGTATGAATCAGTCATTAATACAAAAGACCCCATCTCAGAATTCGTGTGTGTGTTTTATTTGAGTTTAATAAATGCAATAAATGTACTTGGGTTAAACAATGAAATCATTTTATCAAGTTCCTAATGACAGACAGCAACTCCCCTGCTCGGCCCTTGGCCCACTCCCCAGAGAAACTGCTTTCTACTCCTTTAGCTACTTCTCCTGTTTGTCTGCATATTGCTAAGTAATCTCGTTAAGTTTTCATTTTTCAATTTTAGAAACGATCTACTGATTTCCTAGGACAGAAAATGAGAGTTAGACTCTTACACAACCCCCTTCCACCTTCAGACCAAATACACTTCCCCCTTTTCTACGCCTCCCTCTAGAGCTAAAACAAAACTTTCAGTTAGAAAAGAGGCGGAGCTTTTCTTTTATATTCTAAACACTGTTCACAGCTAGGCCATGCGAAGCATCATTCCATTTCCTTTCTTGCAGGACTTTGTCTTTCCTGGAGTGAATACGCACCCCTTTTTCATTTGCTTCTTTCTCCACATTTCTGTCATCAAAACCCCTCTTACTACAATCAGACACATTAGATCCAAGCGGGCCAAACGGGGATGCTGCTGTGGTGTCACATGGGGAGCCCATCCAGACAGGTGCCTGGCAAGAAATGTCCCCACCAGAAACACACACACGCATCTTGCCGGCGTCTGCAGAGAGTACAAAAGGACTCACAGCGCCTCCCAGATGGCAAATGTGTAAGGCAGTTACATCGGCAGTCAGTAAAACAAAAACCTTTATTTTTAAGCTTATGTGGATGCTTTTTAGATATAGTTATTTTAGAGTATCTGGCATTTAAAAAAATAGCAATTGTTAAAAAAAAAAAAAGCAATCGTTTGTTCTCAGATAATGTAAAAGACATTACTGAGTGTACATTTAATGCTAAAAACTGCCTGAAGGTCTGGGGCCTCACATTCAACTCACCTGAAATCCAACAAACAGCAAAGCACTGGTCATGGTACTCATACAGGAAAAAAAAAATGCGATCTGAATTCTTCCGCGATCTAACTATGGAAATCTTTTCACTGTGAAAAATGCTGTTATGAATGTGAACTTTAATGTATTAATATTTGAACCACAGCACCAAATTTCTCACAGAAAAATGAGTCTTTCCCATATATAATTGTTTAAATTAAGGAGTAACTTTCGTCCAACACGGGCATATTAAAACCCCACGAAAATCCTGCTTTAACTAACCTTTCTAGACTTTCTTTCTTCTTCGATTTCTTGCTCCGCCTCACCATCCGGCTCTTACAGCTGTTTCTCCTGGCTGGTCCCGTCTTGATGGACGTGTTTTCAAATGGGGTGGTGGTGATTGAGACCTTATTTCCACTCTATAAAAAAAAAATGGGGTGGTATTAAAGGGAAAATCTGGGAGCACACAGGGTCAGAAGTGGGAAAGTACGTTCAAAAACAAATAAAGATACGTAAGGACGTACATACAAGAGCCTTCCATGTCTAAATAGCCTTTTAAGCAGTGGCACCCTGACAGAACACGAAGGCAAAATGTTCGGTTTCTTTGAGAGGGCAGGCTCTGGACTCCACAGATGTGAGTTCAATCCAAGTTCTATGCATGCCCTGAGCAGGTTGCTTCTCCTCTCTGTGCCTCAAACATGTACACTATCCAGCAGTAGAATCACACCCATCTCACAGGGGCTCGTGTGTGCATTACCCGGGATGGAGTTTGTAAAGCCTGCAGCACCAAGTATGACACAGGCAAAGGACTCTATAAACAACAGTGATCTTCATCCATATGTAGTAAGTATAAATGAGCCCAGGGGCTGTCTGTTGTTGGTTGATTTATTTTTCTTTTTTCTCCTTTTTGTGTTTTTCCTTTGACCTAGAAATCATAGACCAGCAAAACTGAATGAGACTTTTATTTTTAATTATTTTAAAAGATTCCTTTGCTGGCACCATAGAACCTGTCAGCTTGCAGAGCTGGGAAGTTTACGCCAGCGAGTACAAAACAGCCTTTCTTTAACCAGGTCATGTATGGGGAGGTAACTCCTGGTAGAATTCTGGGACTTTCACTCAGTGTTGGGACAGGGCTTGCCGGGCAGGCCCTGGGGGTCGACAGAAGAGAGGAGTCAGAAGCTAGGCTGAGGGGCGCCCTGGGCAGATGGTAGAACTGATCCCCTTTGCTCCAGCATTAATGACTTCTTCTTGAATTTCTTAATAACCAGGGGAAAAACATGTCCTTTCAAAGTCACAGATGGCCCTGATTACCTCAAAAAGATAAGAAGTAAAAGGAGCAGGGTCTTTTAAAAGGTCTATGCCCAAAAAACGCCTAGCAATTCAGCTGTAAGTGGTACTAAGAGATGGGGAGTTAAGTATGGTGGGGGCAGGGACCAAATCAATGGGGATTGATTGTTTTAATGTTAACATCTACCCCCACCACCAGCTCCCACTGCTCCAATTTGGGAAGTAATACATGACATTATAAGAAGAAATTGTAAAGTATAAGTAAAAATAAAAATCATTGAGAAACTTATTGCCAGCTAACACTGGTAATACTTCAGTATATTTCCTAATCTTTTTTTAGGCATGTATGAATTACGCATGCACACAGACATACGTTGTCGACAACTTTAATCTTAATTAATCTAATATTTAGTTTTATGTTGTTTTTCCATTTCTCATTATAGAACTTGAAAAACCTTCCCCACATCACTGAATAGTCATTAAGAACATAATTTTGGGGGCATCAGGGTGGCTCAGTTGGTTAAGCATCCAACTTTGGCTCAGGTCATGTTCTCATAGTTTGTGGGTTCAAGGCCCATGCAGGGCTCTGTGCTGACAGATCGGAGCATGGAGCCTGCTTCAGGTTTTGTGTTTCCCTCTCCCCCCCCCCCCATCATTAGTGGTCTCTCTCTCTCTCTCTCTCTCAAAAACATTAACAATTTTTTAAAAACTTAATTTTTATTTGCTGTATAATATTCCATGAGATGGGTGAATCAAAATTCAACTATTTTCCTACTGCTATTATTTCCTACGTTTCAGTTCTTTTAAGACTTGCCATAAATATCATCCTCCATAAATCGTTGTCCTAGTCTCTGTCATTTCCCTTAGATTACATATGTGAATCAAAGGGTCTATCCAAACTTTAATTTTTTATTTTAGAGAGAGAAAGTGCATGAAAGGGAAAGAGGGGTGGTGTGGGCGGGGAGAGGGAGAGAAAGAAAGAAAGAGAGACAGTGAGAGACAGAGAGAGACAGAGAATTCCAAGCAGGCTCCACACCCAGTGCAGAACCTAATGTAGGGTTCAATCCCATGACCCTGGGATCATGACCTGAGCTGCTATCAAGAGTTGGGACGCTCAACGGACTGAGCCATCCAGGTGCCCTAAACCTCTTAAAGACTCTTAGTATATACTAATACACTATTTTCCAGAAAGTTTATGTCAATACATACTTTTGCTGGCAGCACATACAGACTTTTCTTACCACAGGTTTGTCAGAACTATTAATGTTAAACACATTACCAATTTTATACGAATAAATTGCAATGAGTTTTAATCTTCATTCTTCGACATTGTCTCATTTATTTTGGTCATTCCTATTTTTTTTAGGAAATGACCTGTTCATGTCTTACATCCACTTTTGTGTCAGTAAGTTTAGTATTTTATGAATGATTTTAGAGGGTTTTTTTTGTGTATTTAAGAACATGTAATCTCACACCTAATGTCGTAATTGTAAAAAAAAAAAAAATAAGATTTGAACTGGAACAAAAGAAAAAAAATATTCTGCAAGAACAAACTGTACGTTCTATATGCAAATGCCAAAAGTTCGAAAATAAACCCTTATCTGACAAAGATTGATTCTATTTCTTGTTTAAACAGAACATTCAGCTTAAAAGCATGAAAGGCCTATGAATGGAGGTTGTGTGGAAGGAGATCTCTGCACAAATTGAGGGAGGCCATACTACAATTTCAGTTTCTCCTATATGCCTTAAGTGAATGAAAAAGTAACAAATATGGCTGGAGTTCATCTTTCACTGCAATTCTTTCAATCCTTTTCTACATTCATACGCAGAGTAGACACAGACAGCCATCATATGTCCACTGGGGCTGTCCCACTGTGCACGTCACTGAGCCTGAATCCAATTCCACCCTTTCTAGCATAATTCCCCACTGGTTTTTCTATCTTTATCTGTAAGAGGCTAACAAGGCCATTCAGCCTTTTTAAAGCACATTTTGAGCATTAAAGCATTATTTCCATATATTCTGTCACTTTATTTTCACCACCAAATTATGAGGGCTGTTTTGTTTTGTTTTTGTCTTTTTTTTTTTCTAATACAACCTTGTGAGGTGCGAATGGATTGTTACCCTTCATTATAGATGAGGAAAACAGATTCAGGGATGCTGAGTTTCCTTCTTTCTCAGGGTCACAGAGCCCGTCTTAAGAGCCCACACCTGGCTCTCTGCCCCTCACCCCCACTGTCTGCTCCTCACAGGCATGGCGTGACCTGATCGTCCTCCACCTTTCCTGCCCCTGGCAGAGTAGATGGCTTAGACTTAACGGGTGGTGGCGAAGGAACCAGGCTCTGGACAATATAGGGAATGATTGATGCATCAGACTGTCAAGAAGAAATGGAAGACATATAAAAATAGCATAAACGTTGTATGAAATAAAAATAAATGATGAACAAATCTCATCAGAAAAGTTACAGCCGGGGTTTTTAAATCAGAGCACATCACTGCATTCTGTACAAATGTTCCCTTCCCCTATTAAAAACCAAACCCAGTTTTCTCTTTCTTGTTTCTATATATGGCAGAGGACAGTTTGCTTGACCTATACACTCAGAAAACTTCCCTAAGGAGGAACTACAGACACTCAAGATGCAGAGTGCAAATATTTCACTGGGAGCATTAACGATCATGCAAATGGTAAATGACGGGAAAAATAACTTAATCCACAATAGGGTGAGAATCGAAAAGCCTGCCACCTGGTGGATCCATCAGCTGCATGGAGGGCTGCCTGAACTCAGTGCAATGTGTCTTACTGGGTCAATTTATCCTCAATACATTCTTCTGAAGGAGCGAACTCTTGTAAGAGAAATTCTGTGTCACTTGTTTAAAAAAAACAACAAAAAATGGTGCCGGTGGATTGTTAAATGTTCAATTTGTTCACTTTTACTGTAAACTGTTGGTATAAACTGTGCACGGTGCGAGGGAAATTATTTTAAGCTGGCTGAACTGAATACAATGGCAGGCTAACCATCTCTTCCCCTCAGTCTGGCTCCAGGTTAACTTCTCAGTTGGCCTTGGATAGACTATTTTTACATTCCTTTCTCTGCGACATGCACATGGGGAATGTCACGCTTTCTGCAGGCCTAGGTCTTTGCTGTGACTCACATCCTCCACAATCCAGCCCCAGCCAGCCTGCACACTCCATCCCACATACAAACCCGGGCTCCGGTCACTCGATTTGTGTACCTCAAGTACTCTGAGCTTTCTTGGCCTTGCATTTGCACACACCCTCTTTGTTCTGCTGAGCCCACCCTGTACTCCCTTCCCATACACTAACTCTCCACCCATCCTTCACAGCCCTGAACAGATAACCCCTGTTTCATCCCCCCGGAAAGCCATCTCTCCTTCAGAATGTGGGCTAGATTTACAGTCGGCTCCTTATGTTTAACACTTTGTAGACTTGGTTTCGCCACTGGTTTTCCACGTACTCTGGTGGACTCATGCCAAGCACGGGCTCCAAAGCCACACTGTGGGGTGCAAATCCTCTTTTCTGCTCCTTCCTAGCGGGTAGCCTTGGGCTGCTTTGTTAAATTTCTGCTGCTTTCATTTCTTCATCCGTAAAATGGGAACAACGTTGTTTGCAGGACCTGCTTCACAGCAAGTGAGGATTATAGGGGTTCAGCTACATAAAGCACTATTACCTAATATTCTTATGTGTTGTCTCTTGTGCGACTCACCCTTCAGTATCTAACACAATGCTATGCACGTTTTTAGGACTTGGCGAATATGTAAGGATGGTCATAATGACACTATTTGATGGCCTCCATTTTCACATCTAAAGGCTCCCCAGAGTTCATAGAAAGGAAATTCTTGAAGCAGGGACTAATGAAGTTTTAGGGCTGCTTTTATGTGCTGGGTATTGAAACTAATACTATCCCCAAAAAGCAATCTGGTTTACTTGAGAGTTTCCCAGATTAGAGAGGTTAAGCCGGGCATGTTATCATGTGCGTCAATATGGACTCCATCCATCACTGCAGTGAGTGCACAGAGATTTCACTGCTCTTACAAAGTTCTTTTAGAAAGCTACCCAAAAGCAGAAAGGAGGGGATCACCTCCTTGCAGCAGGACCAGTGTGAGGCAAAGCTGAAGGAGCACGTGGGAAGGGATTCTCAGAGCCAATGGGGAAGTGAACTGGAGAAACACATTGATTCTGTAATTCCATAGATCTATGATGAGAAGTGACTTTGGACAAGCTTCCCTGTGGATATGAGTTAGTGCTCCCATAGCAGGTCTGCTTGGAAGGTGTGAGAGTAAATGAAACCACATGTGAAGACGTGAAATGTGGAAAATGCTTACTCCGTTTGCAATCTGAAAGATATTGTACTGCATACGAACTAAACAGATATATAGCAGCCTCAAGCGATGGCTCTTCCACCTTTTTCCTAAGGTGCCATGACATTTCATGAAGTAGTTCGCAAGTATAGAACACGAAATCAAGAGGGGTGCTTGGGTGGCTCAGTCGGTTGAGCGTCCGACTTCAGCTCAGGTCATGATCTCACAATTCGTAGTTTGAGCCCAACGTTGGGCTCTGTGCTGACAGCTCAGAGCCTGGAGCCTGCTTCGGATTCTGTGTCTTCCTCACTCTCTCTCTGCCCCTGCCCCGCTTGTGTGCTCATGCTTGCTCGCCCTCTCTCAAAAATAAATAAACATTAAAAAAAAAAAAAAAAAAAAAAACAAACATCAAGTAAACAGTACCCGAGAATACCAAAATATAGCCACTACCCTGATGTTCCATGAGTGATGTCACGAGGACGCCCGGTGTTGATCCTACTCCCTTTACACGCTGTCCAAGAACCGCTGTTTAAATTTGGAAGAAAGCTGCATGATTACACAGTTCACTGGAAAGATAATTAAATCCCTCGTATCCTTTTTGTTTCATTACATTGGTCGCTCCTCTCGAGTGCTTCCTTTATGAAGCAGAGGCAGGACCCTCTGCTTGGCTCTGCGACAGAGCAGGCCATGGCTCCGGAGGGTGCCAAGGCTCTCCAATACGGCTTGTTTGCACAGTTTCAGAGACACACTGACTACATCCAGGAATCAAGGTGCACCCTAACCAGAGGAGGACAAAACTGTATGAATGGGATTGGATTTGGCTAAGACACTTTGCCAGACACCTTCAGGAGAAATATACATTCAAATTTCACAGAAGCAGGCTTTAAAATCCACGATCATATCTAACACTCCATAAAATAAATTATGGAAATAACCAAATGCATCAGCAAGATAAACAAATGCCTATTTTCTAAAGATATATACACTTCAGTTTATTATTTCTTCTTCTGATTTTGTGAGCAGACCCAGGAAGTGATAGGAAGATAGGTTGTGGATGAAGCGATGTTGCATGTAACATAATGCTGTTACAAAGAAGGTAGAGAGCCAAGCTGATGTTACCAATGAAAATCCCTTGACCTTCTTTTAAATGCTAATGCAAAGACTGGAAAAAGCTCTAGCAGAATGAATAACAACTAAGAAAACCTCACTGTAATACACAGACTTATTATCCAAAAGAAAGGGTGAGCTCCTAGAACAGATCAAGGAGCATTTTAGAGACAAACAACACTTCTGTCTGCCTACTTCGGAGGAGCCTAACCTACTTCGGAGGAGCCTAAGGCATGTGTATTGGATATGAAGACAGAGGGAGGGAAAAATCCAAAACAACCTTCCTGGACTCTTACTCACAAAAGGTCAAGGGGCACCTGGGTGGTTCAGTCAGTTAAGCAACCGACTCTTGGTTTCGATTCAGGTCATCATCTCACAGTCTGTAGGTTCAAGCCCTGTGTGAGGCTCCACGCTGTCAGCACAGGATTCTCTCTCCCTCTCTCTCTGGCCCTCCCCAGATCTCACGCTCTCTCAGAATAAGTGAATAAACTTAAAACAACAACAACAACAACAACAACAACAACAACAAAGGGGTCTATCTGTGAGCCAGCAATGGGGCACCCCTGGACCATAAGAGCAGGTACTGTGAGAGAATCTGCTGGTCAGACTCATGAGTCTTTATATCCCATCCAGAATTTAGTCTTGCAAAGCCCGAAGTCCTATCAGGCGACTTTCACAGACAAGGGATCCCAATGCCCTGCCTCCCATTTCTTGGGTTCTTACTATGAGAGAGTTGTTCCATACCAGGTGGACAAAGAATATTACCAGGGACAGATGGTGATCTAAACTGAAAACCTCAGGTTGTACCCACGGTGTCAACTCTTTCTGTTCAATAGCCATACTTGAAAGTATAGACTAACCCCAGCCCTTTCAAGCTGACTGACAAACTGAACAGCCTGCATATTAAGACATGAGTCAAGACCAACAAAAGTAGAAGTGGGGTATTTGACCCCCTCCATGGTAACTTTTGGAAAGAAAGCAAAAGAGGACCCCAGCATTCACCTCAATTCCATGAACATTTATTGCGTACCCACCTGTATATCCCAGGTATTGGGTAAATGCTGGAACTACATGGGAAGATGTCCCCTGCATCATCAACCGGTAGGTATGAATGACAGCAAAGTCAGGCGCCACCCCCTACAGACTTTGGTTTTGAGCCCAAGACCAAAATTTAATTAATAATGTGAATTAATCAGTGGCAATAACTTTCCTACAACCTGCTACTTCGCAATGGACCTCTGAATATGCCTGCTATTACTACTCTCAGAACCTAAGCCAACCCTAATCTTTTGAAGAATACGCTCATATTAGCTTGGGGAATGACAGAAAAGGAGAAAAGTCATTTAACTGCACTTATTTTTGGAAGGCTTAGCACACCCACTTCTTTGTAGTGCTTTCTAAATTTCTAATTTTCTTTCCTGTTTCAATTCAATGAAATTTCTCTGTGATGTCTCTCCCCACTCATAGAATATTCTCTCCAAAAGTATAACATTCCTCCCTCTGCGACAGTCCTAAGTTAAACTTCATCTGCTTCCATACATCTCCTATATCTCCCATATTTCTCAAAGGCAAGGACTATACCTTCATTCCTGTGTTACTAATATGTACTATGGCACTGGGCTCAGTGCGAGTGCTCTGAAAAGAGTCTGAATGTACATTATCTAAATGGCAGGTACATATTTATGTTCTGTCCGTCAACAGACTGTAGTTTATCTGAAACCATGGCTCACACCTCTCTGTATACAACTCCTTTACAGCCCCTTTCAGTGCCCAAAAAGCAAGAGATCATCCATAAATCTGCTGATTTGTAAAATAATCTTACAACTAGAGACTCTATTTCTGATCACTGACTTCTTTTTCTGAACAAATTTAAATTTTTTTTTTTTTTCAACGTTTATTTATTTTTGGGACAGAGAGAGACAGAGCATGAACGGGGGAGGGGCAGAGAGAGAGGGAGACACAGAATCGGAAACAGGCTCCAGGCTCTGAGCCATCAGCCCAGAGCCCGACGCGGGGCTCGAACTCACGGACCGCAAGATCGTGACCTGGCTGAAGTCGGACGCTCAACCGACTGCGCCACCCAGGCGCCCCGTGAACAAATTTAAAATCAAGTACAAATTCATCTTTGTTTTTACAAGAGCCATATTTGGAGCTATAACTTTATATTCTACCGTCAGCAGGTGACACAGCAAATAAGAGAACTGAAGGATCAGTGTAGATTTTCTCTCTCCACTCACATTCACGCTTCTTGTGATCTTAACTCCGTGGGCTTTATTCAGCTTACATTCAAAACAGAAAATGTTCTATGTTCAAAATCATTTGTGTGAGGGCCTAATGATTACTAGAACCCCTTCCTCCATTGCTACTTACTTCTGTCATCTACAGTGTATGTGTATATATTTCCATTTCTATTTTTCAAAGGAAATCCAACTCTCAGACTGAACCTTCAAATCTGACCTCATTTTCATACCACTTCATCTTCCATTGTACTGGAATAAAACTTGCTGAATGGCCCTGAAGAAAACCATAGGTGACTTCCCAACAGCTTTTACTATGTAAGGCTCATAAAGTGAAAAAGAACTCTTGTTATTCGTAATTTAGAATAAGAAGTTACATTCAGAAGTGATTGTGCAGATAGAAGGCCATGTTTTTTCATGATATATAGAACCAGCAAATTCATATTTATCTGTTTCTTCACCTTTTATCACACTTTAAACCACTGAATACTTCCTCAGTAATAAGACTGTTTATGCATGCATCATAGAGAATTCTAGAACTTAAGGAGAGAACTCTTGGTACCAGTTCTTTCTGATGACCTTTACTTGTGTGGCATGGGCATAAAAAAGATAATACCTTTAGCAAAAGCTCTATAACTTCCGTGTGGACAAGTCCATGCACTGGTTCTCCATTGATGTGTGTGATCAGATCCCCAGCCTTCAGTCCTGCTTGGCATGCTGGACTTCCTTCTTCAACATTCTGAAGTCCAAGAAAAGAGTATAGATTGATCAGCCAACAAATGGCAACCTTAACATCTACTGTTTCTTCTGGGACAATATTCTGGGTGAATTAGCAAATGATCCTAAGCTTCTAAGAGGAAATCAATAAGGCATGGTTATTATTCCTTTTCTGACATCATCCTAAAATAGGACACTTACTTACAAAATTTCAGGTGAGTGGGAAAGGTAGTTAGTTTTGTTTGTTTTTTAATAAAAGAAGGCCAGGAAAAAATTAAACAGAAGGGTGACAATAGGACCATCTTGGACAATTTCTACCATGCTGGCATGCAAAGTGGACAATCAAATATGAAAACTGGACAGAATTATGAGAAGTTATTAGTTTTTTCTCAATTCAATGCCACCATATAAAGGGAAAGGGCATGAAACAGGTCCCAAAAGCCAGCTTAGCAGAAAAACTGTTTGCTTATAAATATGCCTCAGCCAACTTATTCATTGTCCAGTTTGGCTGGGAATGAAAAGTAACAAGGATGAGAGGCTGTTGATCTCACCCAAACAATATGGTGCACTGTATAGATGTCGCTGTCTCCCACATACACCCGGATGGCTCGGATGGTAAAACCGTAGTTTTTCCCTGAACTGTGGATCACAATGGGCTGATGTGGACTGGCAGAAGCTCCTGAAGAATCTCGGCTGGGAGAAGAATCTCGTGAAGAAGAAGGGTCCGAGGACAGGGAATGGGGGGACATTGGACTTCCCAGGGGAGAAACGGCAAACATATCTGCAACACAGAAGCCAGTCGTTAGAGCCGATGCTGATCACACAAACATCCATGCAGCCAGCCCGCACCGCATGAGCCCTGCAATGATGCAGAGCTCAGCCACACAATAAATCCATTCATTTCTCATCAAGAAATAATATAAAAATATTTATATTGCTAACTAGGATGGCTTTCCAAACAGGGGATATTAAGAAGACTTCAAAAGTGTCTGTACTGCAACTAATTTTTCAATGAATTCTGTGAGGTTAGAATTTCTTCATTCTCTATGCTAATTAAAACACACACCAAACTTAGTCCCTACCTGGCTGGGATAGCTTTAGTTGGTATATTTTGTTGTCCTTAAATCAGAGATGCACAAATTTCAAGTATGCCTTTACACAGAGAAGACTGTGGAGACTATAGTAAAAGATTCTCAGGCTCCAAATCTCAGGCTCCAAATCAACAAATTTAACATGGTCCTTTTCAAACATACGTGGTCAGGAAAACAATCCATCAAGTTACCAGTTCCTTTTTACAGTACTACTGAACTAGTACTCAAGTGATTTCGATCAAGACAACAGTGAAATGTCAATTTCTTTATGAAACAATCACTCCTAATTATTATGAATACAACTGATCGCTTCCTACAGTACCTACAATTCTAACAATGATTCTCAAAGATAATACAGGTGAAATAGAGAAATTTTAAGAAAACTTAATACCACAATACCAATTCTATTCTGTTTTTGTTTTAAAAGCAAACACGCTTTTATTGTTGATATCACTGTTCCATCCATGTGAGTCTAAACAGATCTTAATTAACTGGCCATGTGAAATTGTGTGTGTGTTTGACAAAAAGAATGATCCACTAAAGATGCTGAAGTTTAAATGTGAGCTCAGTCAGAGGCAGGCTACTATGTGCCCAGCGTTACTGAAGACTCACCAGGTTCAGTGAGCACCAGGGGAGCCACAGCAAACCGCCAGTGCCCAAACTATCATTTCTTCCGATTCTTATATCTGTCAAAGTGGAACAAAGCTAGGTGGATCACTAGCGATGTTCCTTCACTTTGGGACTGCGTGTGGCACTCTTGGTACTCTTTCGCTGGCTACCTTTTGTCTAAAGATCACAAGGCCAAGTGAAGAGACACACGCTGGTGGGCAGGGAACTTGTAACCATGCGAGCGGGAACTGGACAGAGTGGAAACACATACACACATCCAAAGTGCTGGAAAGCCAAGTCCCCATCCTTTGCGGCATGACAGTTTCCCTTATCGCCCTGTATTAAACAATTGCTCTACCTTACCAAGATGTGGGCTTTCTCACCAGCTTCCAAAAGTGGACTTACCTTTCCAACTGCCGCTGCTTTGGAGTTATGAATAGTCATTCAAACTAAGGAGATAGATGGTTACTTTATGGTGCTGAATGGGACGCCTCCCAGAAAACAGAGTGGGCTAGAGTGAGCAATACCCCCAAAAGAGCATTTGTTTTTATCAAATTTCTTTCTGCACAAACAGGAAATTTTGAAACTGTAAACAATTCCTTTTATACAAGGTCTGTAGTCCTCCAAATGCAAGCCATCTGCAATATAATTCAATTGCCACTTCCACTCTCGGGCTGTCATTTGAGTGTTAAGTCACAAACACCAGGGTGTATGTTTTCTCACTTCTGGGGGAATTGCGTAGACTTAGTGATTTCTAGAGGCAAAGCCCTGGTGTATAAAAATACTGCAATTCCACAAAACCATAATTAAGCCCAGTCTTCCAATACAGGGGAGAAAACGACTACCAGTAGGAGGAAGCATAGCTCAACAGACAGGGTTGGGAAAATTTGTAAATTTCAGGGCTGTCTGTGACTCTCTGCATCCCCAGAAATGAAAAACTTATGTTCTCCATATCTCTCTCCTCATTAATTAGAAGAGGAAAAACTGTACTTAGCTTTCCAACACATATGCTATAAACAACTCAGTAAAGTACATAAACGATGCATAGTCTAGGGAAGAAAAATGATTCAGAGGAGATAAATTTACCACTTAATTTGAGGAGGGGGGAGCAGAAAAGGAAAGAAAACAAATAAAAGAAATCAGGCTGTGTGGGAAGGAAGCCCGCCTCATCTCCTGATGCAGAAAGAAGCAAGAAGAAATCAGTGACACATGCTGTCTGGGAGCTCCGGAGCTCCCGCAGGGAGAAACTCCGGAGAGATGCACTGGGTACCGCCCGTTACTGCTTCTAGCAATCTTGCATCTCGATCAGCATTCCAAACTGGGGAGAGGGGGACACATGCACAAAACCACACAATTTCATGCGAGTAGATGTCTCTCTACCTCCTGGGATCATGAGGGACAGAGCACTGGCAGAAAGGGACTTTGTGACTTTCCCCGAGATTTTCTTTTTTTCTGTGCTTTCTAATCGCTGGCGAGCCATGTGAGAAGCGGGTTCACTGGGTGGCTTTGAGGAATTATCTGTACTGTCCACACACTCGCTTCGTCCATTTATCTGATCCAAGTGCTCTGAAAAACTGCCAACTGTACAAACAAGAAGGGATAAACACGTTCAGGGAAATCAGATAGGAGAGGTGGAAAGAGGGCAAGAGAGAGAAAGAAGGAAGAACAACCTGGGAAACGTACTCCCATGTGGCTCAACAATCCATATGGCGCCAGGCAAGCATTAAACACACATGACTGCTTTGAGAAAGGTGATGGGGAAGAGAGGGGATGAAAGACATGTCCATCCAGGTTTTATTCTCCTTGTACCTAAGTCTGCTAATTCTCAATGACTCCGCTTAACTACAAGAGTCACTACTTTACAGAATTTCGATTTTAGAACGCTTGTAGTGACAACTCCTCCCCACTGCTTCCAACCACGGGAGGCTCTGAAGCAAACACCACCTTATGAACACCATGACCACCCACTGTATACTAAAATTATCCTGTGATATTAATGGTCATCGTTAGCAATGCTGTGAATAATGTGGACATGTGGATAATGCTGTTTGGGACAGGTGGACATCATCTCATTTCTTCACGTAGACTTGGGACTGTGTCATCTCCTAGTGTCTTCCTGGACTGCACTAGACTGCACGAGGTTCATGTATGTAACTCACAGGAGAGTGCCTCAAGCATCACCTATGACTTCTCGTGCCCTAAGTCTCCTTGCAAATCTCCCAGGACAACAAAGGACAGTACTCACTGCATTCCACAATGGCTTGCTGCATCTTCCTGGTTTTTTTCTCTAGACAGTGTATCATCTCCTGATCTGCCCTGAGGTTACTGGACCAGTGCTAAGATCCTTTCCCTTCCCGTCTCAGCCAGCCACGCCTTCTTTATTTTTAAGTTTATTAGCCCTTAACAGAAAGGTGGGTTTTTGTTTGTTTGCTTGTTTGTTTTAAAAAAAATTAGGACTCCCCTCAGCAGAGGATCACAAGAGAATCACGTGGGAGGATGCAAAAATGGAAAATCAGTGATGTCTGCCTGGGTGACCACACAGACCAAGAATAAATAACGCTTCTGAGCGGAAATAACATGTGGAGTCCCCCAGAGGAAAGGGGAACAGCCACCCACTTCGGGTTTTTCCTACTCTTTCACAGGCTATCAGTTCTCTTTCTTTCTTTTTGTAATCACTGACAGTTTATCTTTGTCCATCCGGAAAAAGTGATGCTCATCTCATTTTGACTTCTAAATGCTGTTACAAGCCCCCTGTGCTTTAGAAACCATCAACACTATCATCACCTTAAGATATACAATCCATGCAGAGAATTTAATACCATTATAAATGATCCTTTGAAAGACCAACCAGCACATTTTAAAGCCTAGGAAATAGTTAGGCTGGATAGGACTTAATTCACAATCCCGTTCTGCTGCTGAATCCACTACTCAACTTCACAGCTCAAGTTTGGCCTCTGTGCCTAGGAGGTGACAGAGACCCTACAGGCGGGGTCCTCGCTAAAGGAAGCTTGGGACTTGAGAGAGCGCTGTGGGTACAGGAAAAGAGCTGGACCTCCACGCGACACCCATGAGACCCAGGAAGACAATCCTAAACGAAGCATCAGCAGCCTTCCTACTCCTATATTCCAAACTCAACCTCACTTAACTCCATCTACTCAATTCCCTCTAAATCAAGAAATCAACAGCACAAGGACGTGATAAAAACTGCTTCGCGACTCAGACACCTCATCTCCAAAACCTTAAGCTTACTTTGGGCTAAGTTACACACTCTTCTCCTTGCTAATCTGGTAGGATGGGCTCCCTGACAAATGAAAAGCCGAATCTCTTCACAACGAATAACTGGTTGACTCGAGCACTACACCTAAGACTTCGAGACTTTTTACTTTTCACCGATTCAAATGCAACACGATCGTGAAAAAAAGAGAAAGAGGTATGAAACTGTACTTCCCTAAATGCCTGAGTGCGAATAGGTACTGTTCTTTTTTAGCATCCCTGCCCCCTTGCCTTTGCCACCTCCTTTCAGAGCAATGGATAGAAGTGTGCGTTTCTGTTCTGCCAATAGTGGATAATGTCACCTTAATGTTCTGTAAATGTCAAGGGTTCTTTCTTTTTGATGGCAGAGCAATATAAAAATCAACAAATTTAATTTTACTACAGTCACGGTTTTCAGATTTCCTAATTACCCTTGGCCGTAAGCAAATCAGTTCATCTCTCTATTCTGTGCAGCCCCCAAGGTCTTTGATTATTTTTAGTGTGTATATGGGGGAGACAGAAAGGTGGTTTGAATCAATTAATCAAAATGCATGGCAGGACCTAAGCAGTTTTTTTTTTTTCTTTTTTAATTATGAAAATAATCAATCAAATGCTTAGATACCATTTCCCTCCGACACTGCTGATGGGGACCAGGGCAAAGTGATCACCAATGACTCACCATATTAAAAAAAAATTTTTTAAATAGAGGTGAGTATATTTTATTTAGAGCATAATAAACTAGGAAACAGAGACCTTAGTAACGAGAAAAATAAAATACTGAGATACTTCCATTTGATTTATCAAGATGAACTAAACATAATTAAGAATTTTGGACGACTATGTTGTTTCTACACTACTTCCACATTGCTATTCTCTTGGTTTTATAAAAAAGGAAGGATAAGGGCAATTATCCTACATGGCAACAGAACTTAGAAGAAGAGAGAGAAAGAAAAAAAAAAAAAAACAACCCACATTATTTCCATA